CCCCTGTCGCCTCTTCCCCACTCCCCCCGCCATATGCTGATGCCTCTGATAGGTGGGGGAGAGGGTAGACAGGAGCCGGTGCTTGGGGGAGCCGGCTTAAAAAACATGACTACAAAATATACTATGGGCCAAAGCCCCATTCGGCACATGGACTGTATCTATTTACACCGGCTGAGGATCTGGCCTCTGGACTTGAACATTTGTTTTGTTTTAAAACAAAATGACCAAGATTAGTCCCGTAGAGAGAAGGGGCTTCTTATCAGGATGCAAACTTCTTAGAAACTTCTAAGAAACATGCAGCTTCTTATCAGGATGCAAACTTTCCCAAAGTTGAAGAATATTTGTACCTGGGGTTTGGGCTCAAACTCATTTCTAGTCTCTTGTCCTGCCTAAGCTTTGGTGTTAGCATTAAGAGTAAGACTTATTTCCTACTCTGAAATAAGTCCAGATTGCACACACACAAACACAAATCTAGATAGAGCAATCTTTGATTCACGTGCTGCTTTACACCCTAGGCAATCCCATTCAAATCAATGTTATTTTATGGGAAATATACTGGGGCAAAAGCTAGCCTCTTATTCCCCTGAGCTTTTCCGAACTGCTCTGTGGAGATTATCAAGGCTCATGCAGCTTTTGCAGTACTGACAATCCTCACTGTCTCAATTTGTTTCTATTTTTCCCAGTTTTCATCCGCGCTAACATAAGAAGTTTATGTGATGGAACAACAACCATTACACGTTACTGGCTATCACCTCCATAGCAACAATAGCAGCAAAAAAACACAATCCAAAAACAAGAGGAGGTCATTTTTTTTAGTTAGCATTTCCAAGAATGATCTCAATTTTCATAAAACAATGTTTACATACTCGTTCAAGCTGCATGTGCATAAATATAATCTTTTCTGTGAGCCTCCCTGCCATCATTTCAGTGCTTGTTTATTTTGCAACAGCTAAATATATTTAAAAATTGGGCCTTTGAAATGAAATAATAAAATACACAAGATGGGGCCAAATGAAAGCCCTAGATTCCAAGTGTGGAGGCAGTTCAAAATCTGCACCCCCAGCTCTGGATATACATTTCAAAAGGCCCCTTTCATTACTATAGATGAAACACCTCCAACATTTAAGGTGTTTGAAATCTCTGTCCTGCATTCAGATCTTCATGCATGGCACCTTGCACTTGCACAGTGACCCTAATGCAAAAAGGCACTGAAGCATGTGCTTCATGTTACACACATACTTAGTGCTTTCTTGAATAGAGAAATGCCGAGCAGTGGGCACCCCTCTACAGGTCATGGGGCTCCATGAAGACACCAAGAGCTGCCTGAGCAGATCCACGTGCAGAATCAAGGCCTGTCTCTGGATCCTCATTTTGTGGTGTGAGCCCATCTCCTGGAAACAAAATCCTACCCCGCAGCCATGCTTCAGTTTCAAAGCATCATTTGCTCTGCGCTCCCCTTGTTTCTAGATGAGCTCTCTGCTGGTGCACAGCTGTGGTTCTCAAGCCAGAGAGACAAGGTGCTGCTCGTAGTAAAGTAGGTGAACTAACGGTTGTTGTACTTTCAGGAGAGAGGTGTATGGGAAACTGAGCAGCCTCTATGCTACCCATGCCTGTAAGCAGTACCTGGAGGCCTTTCAGCAGCTGGAGAAATGCTGTGGATACCAAGAGGACAGCATTCCGCAACTTCAGGACGTTTCCAGATTTTTAAAAGGCAAGATGTTGCAGCCGATAGTGTTTTAGTACTCCCTAGGCACCCTTGGGAATCTTCAACCTCGTGTGCTGGAAAGAGGAGTGGACAATAGAATGAACTGTGACTGCTCAGGGCTTGCAGATCTGTTTGTGGGTAACAAGGCTAGGGAAGAGACAAGGGTGCTGGAGCAATTTGTATGTAAAGAGCCATTGAACCAAACTGGAAACCACATGTACAAGTGAAAGCACTTCAAGTCGGGGGAGCAGCTGCAGCAGCTCAGCATCACTGGTTCTAGCACCTTTGAGAACAGATAAAATACTGAGATGCTGTAAGCTCTAGTGAATCTGTCAGCAGATGTTTGAGTGACACAGGACAGTGGAGATTGACACCCTGTGTCACTAATCCACAGAGGCAGTTCCAAGGCAGGGCGTGCCTTTTTAACAGAGTAGCTTGCCAAAGTCCCTGTAATCTGGAGAAGCCAAGGAAGGGCTGCAGTAAAAGAAAACACCCTCTTGTTGCTCTCCCAGCAATAAGAAGTGTGCCAGATGCTGGCTGCAGACATTTGCTAAATATGGCAGAAGAAACATATACATGGTAGCTTTAACTTAAAAATAAATTAAACATGAAAATTACATTGGATGCTTATGAAATCAAGCAAACCAGTCCATTTGCCAACAGATAGATGCAAGACAAATGGGCGTAACCTATTACTGAAGAGATTTCCAGCATATGGGCATTTTAATTAGAGATTAATATATTCGGACAGATCCCTGGGTTGATCCAACTGTGCAAATGCAATGGCCACTTGCATTACTAGTGTAGCCAGGGAGTCCCCAGATGTAGAGAAATCGTTCCGGGGCGTAAACAAGAATGGACAGAGCGATGTCTTCCACTCCCATTCCCACATTTAGGAGGCATCCCTGGGTGGGCTGAGGGCATCGCCAGAGCTAACAGGTGGTAGATTTGGAGTACAATGCACCTCAGTGATCCCAGGATCACAAATCAGTCTGAGAGTTGCTGTTGCTGACTTAATATAGAGCTGCCTTTAGGCTGCTCTACGTTATACGGGGAGCTAATTCAGATTAAGGATAAGGGGAGTGCAAAGAAGGCTGGGAGACAACTTCCCACATCTCACACATCTGTTCCTGAGCTAGCACCCCTCAGGTGGGGACTAGGAATCTGGCCTATGAGCATGTTCACAAACTGCAAGTGAGAAATTACTAATAATAGTGTTAGTTTCTTTTGAGTTGCTTGGTGGATCCTGGGAACGAAGCTGGTGATACAGAAATGTAACTGTGTTGTCTTCAACAGGGTTATTTCCAATTTACTCTAGTGAACGTGTAGCCAGAATCTGGCTTATACTGCACATTGTTTTTCCCAGCGCATCATTGTTGTTAGATTCATGTCTTATTCATGCCACTGCCTCTGCTCAGCTGGCTTTTTCCAGACCCCTACCCATCACGGCCAGTGTCTGGATGTTGTGCTGAAGTCAGTTGTCTTTTATTTAATCATTTGCCTCTCGCCAGAGCTCAGAGGTTGTTTCCCTTTGAGAACACGCCACAGTGAAATCGTCCCCCCAAAAAAGTAGAAGGCTTGAATGTGCTAAAGGAAACTTTGCTAAGGGAAGATTTTGTTTTCAAAATAGGAAAAAGAAAATCACTTAAAATCAAAGCTGATCACAACCCTCCCAATCCCAGCTAAGGGCATCACCTACCTCACTGTGTGGGAACAATGACCTTTTGTTTTATTGATTACCTTTCATTTTGGAAAATCCCACTTGGAGGGTTCAATCATGTCTTTCCTTGACTCCCTGAGCCAAATCTCCAGGCTTCATCCATCACCTAGCTCCCTCTCTGCTCTTGTTCCCTTTTCTCCTCCACTGAGCCTGCCCTTGGCGCACGTGACAACCATATGTGTCCCCACCATTTGGGTGAGCTACTCTTACCAGTTGAGGGCTTGTTTTAGTATTCTCTGTGTCCCCTTCCTGGCTATCCAACCATGCATCCTGCACAGACTATAGCACCAGGGAACTGTTAGATGGTGGCAAGAAATTGAGCATGTGTTTTACTGATCTCAGTCATAAGAACGGCCATACTGGGTAAGCCCAAAGGTCCATCTAGCCCAGTAGCCTGTCTTTTGACAGTGGCCAATGCCAGGTGTCCCAAAGGGAATGAACAGAACAGATAATCATCAAGTAATTCCTCCCCTATCACCCATTCCTAGCTTCCGACAAACACAGGCTAGGGACACCATTCCTCCCCATCCTGGCTAATAGCCATAGTCAGTGAAGAGTTCTAGAAGGATCTTTTTATAGGTCCTGGGATACTGTGGTGAATGTGACTGATATTCATATTTTTTTCCAGTCCTGGTTCACTTCTGAAGGGATAACAGAAGCCGGGTGATTAGGACAAAGTAAGGATAAGGATATACTGGCGTTTACTCTTTGTCTGGGTAGTGTCAGATTTTGTTTATTGACGTCTGTGGCTATCCACATCTGTTCCATATTGTGGTCTTAAGTTATTTCCAAGTGTCATTAAGCAAGTTCTTCTGGACAAAAAGTATCATCAGTGAGAAAACTCGGCAAATCTCTCTCAGGGGGAGGGAAATTCAGAGCACTCCACAAACCAGTGTTGTTTGTGGCTGGACTCATATAATGGTAAATAAGATATCTGGGTCAAATCAAAATCTCCTTGTCACTGATGGCTCTCTCATTAGATTTTTTTTAAAATCATGCAGTGTTCTTCTCAGAGCACTGTGATAGATGCAGTTACTGTCAGATCAAAAGCAGTCAAACAACAGTATCATTGCAAGGTCTGCAAAAGCTGTAACTGCCAGTTCTGTGCCAGTGAGCCATCTTGTGAGATTAGGGTGGATAATTATGTAGTTGAGTGAAATCCGGCCCATATTGTAGGTGACAAAGAGCTACACTGCCCCAGAGGAGCTCTGGGCAGCATTTTGGCTCCCAGAATTCCATAGCATGTAGTGTGAACATGCCAGCCACTATATCCTATAATGGGAGGCTGGGTACAGTTCTGTCCACAGCCGGCCAGCTGTAGGTAGAGCTGTGATCACATGCAGTGCTAGTCTAGAACAATCCCAGTGGCCTAAATGGCATGGACAGGTCACTAAGTGATCAGTGTAGGTTATCCCAGCTCCTCCTGATATCCTTTCAAACCAGTGATTAGCAACCTGTGGTCCGAAGGCCACTTGCAGCCTATTAGAGTTTTATGTGTGGCCCAGGAGAGACTTTGTTTACCAATTGCCTACGTGAAGGGTTACTAGATTCTGCTGTTTTCTTTCCACATAGTTTTTTTTTCCCTACCGGTATTACTAACGTGACAAGCACAAAGAGCCAGGACATATGAAGTGAGGTGTGTGCTAACTGCACACAACATTGTAAGAGCTGTGAGCTCCCCTCTGCATCCAATCAAAACGCTGCTGTGCTTTGTACAATCTAGGATAAAATGACATCAAATGGGGATGGGGTTTCTACTTTTTTCCCTGGTAGATTGTGTAGTGACCAAACAGACCAAAACCAAATATGCTGGAAGAACCATAAAACATTTCATGCAAATAGCTCAGTTTCTGTGGGAAACATTCCTGTTTAAACATTCCTGTTTAAACAAAAACACTAGTAAGAAAACAAGCACAAAGCCATTTCTGTCCTGCTGTTGTTTAGTTGTATTCCACAGATTTGGAATATGGGATGTCAAAAAGATTAGCATCTACTATTCTTAAAGCACAGCAGTTTTGCACAATGCTGTATGAACATGTAGAAAACCTGGGCCTAGCCAAAGGGAGCTTATAGTTCAACCTTAGACAAATAATATACACATATGGAAGATCAGATGGAAAAATGGGACTAGAGAGCTCTGGAAAGAATGTTACAATGACCATGTTAAAAGGCAAAGAGCAAAATTCTGACACCTTTACCCATAATGAGTAACTCTACTTGTTACATATCTTGAGGGATCCCATGTGAATTCAGTTGCTGCTGCACCCTAATGATTTCAACATACTGCAAAAGACAAATATGTGCTCTCTAAAAATGTATGACAGTGCACTGTCCATGTAACCCATTTCTCCTTTTGAAAATGGAAAATAACTGAAACACAACAGATGGTTACTCAGCTACTTAACATGGATTGTCTCATGAAAGGCCAGTGCAGGACTGTAGCGACTGCCAGGCTTACTTAGGTTTATTTAGTTCAATGCTCAATCTCTGACATGAGCCAGGCTAATGTATAACCAGGGAATATACCTCCTCAGCTGCCAATAGCTGGGAGTTGTCTTGTGTCCTGAATCAGGAGGGTGTGTATCCCATCCCAAACACTTGTTTATTTCTGATATTTATTATTACAAGAGAAGAAGGATGCCAGTCTTTAGGGCAGTAGGCTGGGACTTGAGAGATCCAGTGTCAGTTTCCTCTTCTGTCACAGATTTCCTCTGTCACCTTGGACAAGTCACTTAACCTCCCAGTGCTTTAGTTCCTGTCTGTAAAATGTGGATGATGTCCCTTCCCTACTTCACAGAGGTGTTAGACAGATACATACACAAAGGATAATGAGGTGCTCAGATACCATGGTAATACAGGCCATATTAGCACCTGAAATAGACATTTGTAACACTGAATGTCTTCCTTATCCAGCCCTATAAGAAAGTTCCCAGACTCAATGCAAATGAAATTTCAAATTCCTTGGGTGGTGTGGAGTTGTCCTGTTCACACTACATTTTCCTACTGTTTTGGTTTTTTTTTGCAGAAAGAACAGGCTTTCAGCTGAGACCAGCTGCAGGGCTGCTGTCTTCCCGGGACTTCCTGGCCAGTCTGGCATTCCGTGTATTTCCGAGCACACAATACATAAGGCATTCCTCTTCCCCTATGCATTCCCCAGAACCGTAAGTAGGATGATATGGAATAATCCAGCAATCTTCAGGCTGCAAGTCCTTCATGGTGGTGCTTGTATTGATTTGGATGAAATACAGGGGCTCAAAGCATCAATGGTGTTAATGTAACCCCATCATTTTCCAACAGTAAGCAGTGTCACACAAGTTTTTGGTTATGGAGACCTCAGTCTGTTTAGTATCATGGCAAAATTATCACTAAACAGCCTTTAAACCTGATACAGAATGATACAGAGAAGAAGGAAAAAGATAAAACATTTGAAATGCAAAGTCATACATAACATAAGCCTTCTTTTTAACAACGTGTCTTGGTTTCTTTCCCTTTGGCTTGAGAGAGTTTCGAGAAGAAAAAAGTCCCTTTGTTTGACTAGCTAATGACTCTTCTTTTGGGAGAGAAGAGGTGCTAGTTGAGATGGACTTGAGCCATTTTCTCTGCTGTTGTTAAAGTCCAATCCCATTTCTTAGAAGCCAAAGCAAGAAACATACGTACAAAAGGGGAAAAAAGAGAACAGTGAAGATGGAAAATGCAGCTTCTGTCTCTGAGCTTTCCTATCACTTGCCACCACATTGCTGGAAAAAAAAAACCCACACAGGCATAGCACACAGTCTTTCCAGCCACTCTGAGTCATATCAGTATCGGGTAGTGTAGGGCACTGTTTTTATTTCCCTGTCTGGTCATAAGCTTACAGCTATGTTAACAAAATATGCAGTCCTGGCTCTCTAAGCCAGCCTCTTATAAGACAGAAGGAAAAGGGAGCTAGGAAAGAAAAGAATTAACTTAAGGTAGGAAAAAGGACAAATGGGCTGTGCAAGGGAAACGAAGTCTCACATCCCAGGTGGTGTTTGGGGTTCAGCCAGACCTAAGGCGATAAGAAAATACAGGACTATGTAGCACTTTACAGACTAACAAGATGGTTTATTAGGTGATGAGCTTTTGTGGGCCAGACCCACTTCCTCAGATCAAATAGTGGAAGAAAATTGTCACAAACGTTGTGACAATTTTCTTCCACTATTTGTTCTGAGGAAGTGGGTCTGGCCCACGAAAGCTCATCACCTAATAAACCATCTTGTTAGTCTGTAAAGTGCTACATAGTCCTGTATTTTGTTTCATCTACACCAGACTAACACGGCTACATTTCTAACACTAAGGTGATAAGGTCTGCCTCCTTCTCTCTGGGTCCATCTATAGGCAGAGGATTCCAGGAGACAGTGGGGTTGGCAGCCAAGCTGGTGAATCTTGCTTCTTCCTTTTCTCTCCTCTTATATCAACCAGTGTCACAGTGCATTGGATCTCCCCCCCCCCCCCCACGTTCTTTAATTGGGCCAGTCCATCAATATTTAGTTCATGAATTAGGCCCCGTTTCTAAGACACCAAGTTTCACTCAACAATTTGCAGTCCCGTGCTTTTCTTGTTTACCAGGTAAGATGTTAACACAGAGTGTGAGATACATAAGTAGGCCTTTTTTCTTGGACTAATTCAGTTCTGTTTTTATTTTTTACTTGTACTAATTAACCTAATTGGGCCAGTCCATCAATATTTAGTTCATGAATTAGGCCCCGTTTCTAAGACACCAAGTTTCACTCAACAATTTGCAGTCCCGTGCTTTTCTTGTTTACCAGGTAAGATGTTAACACAGAGTGTGAGATACATAAGTAGGCCTTTTTTCTTGGACTAATTCAGTTCTGTTTTTATTTTTTACTTGTACTAATTAACCTTATGGTACAGTCTGAATTGGCTTTGGTTGCCTTTTGCCCATCAACATGAGTTGTTAGAGTAGGTTATAGTGACATTTGAAGTCAGTTCAATCACTATTTTACAGTTAAACTAACCATTAGGATAAATTTATAGGCCCAATTACCACAATGTGGTCCACAGCATGAAATAATGTGAGGAGCTAGCAGTGGTGGAAGTGGTCCATGAGAGAGGATATGTTGCTTTGCAAAGTTGTTTGGAGGAGAAAAAGACTGGGAGTTTCATCTGTTTATTCTTATTGTGTGGACCATTTGTTGAGTTGCAAGAAGCTGTTTGGAAGCCTCCACAACACAGGAAATATGGTTCCAGCCATGGGAAGCTTACAATATAAATTAGAAACAGCATCTTGGCTTGATTTTGAACACCCATCAATCCCTTTGAAGCCATTGGCAGCTGCAGTTGCTCTGCACCTTTGAAGATCAGGCCACGAGGGCTAAATCCAGAGTTGATGTCATTGGGAAGGAAAATTGAGAGGGGGGGGGGGAAG